TTTATTGACCAATATTATTTTTTCTACTTTCCATAGGAAATTGTTCGTTTACGTGAAGAAATTTCCAAGATGAAAGAAGAGAATGGCGCATTAATTCGTGTAATCAGTAAACTTTCAAAACCGATATAATCAATAAGATTTTTTTTATTGCAGTTTATCTCCTCTTTCCCATTCTTTCATTTCATTTGTGGTTTGTATCAATGTTTTTATGCATAATTATGTGAATCTCTTTATTGGTTTGTTAGATTGTCTTTTCATTCATTTCATTTACATTACTGTCTTTTCTTTTTCTTGTTAACAGAAATTTATCCATTGTTTTCTTTATTTTATTTAAATGAATGAAATTTGCATTGTATGTATATGTTGGATGGGAAAAGAAGTGTTCCAATTATAGTTAACAAATGTTTACACACATCCATGTAACTGTCTATACAATTTATTTCATACTTGATACAATATTTAATCATAGACATACAGGAATAAATGATTATTCAAGTATAGAAATATCTGTGGTCATATATACATATATATGCTTATATTCATGTCAAGTTTTCAATATGAACTATACCATGAACATTAGAGGGGGGAGGGGAGTTACTTCTTAATGGCCGATTCAACAATTTTTAGTTATATATATATATCATCTATTTCCTCTTATTTGTCATTGTTGAAATAGCATGACCACAACGGCTACTGCTACTACCAATGAGAATTTCTGGAGATGATAATATATGTTGTTCAATGAAATGTTTAGAATTTAAACGTACTGCATAAGATCATTTGTTTTTCATGGCTATAAACTACCTGCTAAGTGTGTGTAACTATGCGAATTATTGATTATGTGCACACTTCTAGAAATATATTATTCATATATCATTATTACTTTATCTGTATTTCTTATTCTATGCGCCAATCTTTCAAACGTTTCTTTATGTTCATATTATTGTTGTAATATAGAAGTAGAAACGAAAATCAAAGAATTGGTGTCATTATTTATGATGATGATAATAATAATGTTGACAATGACTAGTAAAACTTATTTTTATATTTCAAAAAGAAAAAACAAAACAAAACAACTTAACTGATATTTAAGACGGACAGATATTCATGTATGTTTATTCATGTTAGATCATCAACTATACATCCATTTGTTTATCATGGAGCGATCTATGCTACAGAGTAACACTTACTATTCTACTACTACTATGGGCTTTATTCAGAAAAAATGGAACAGACTGATAGAGATTACATTGTTCACTTTTTCTTGTATTTCTGATGTAGATTAGATCTTACCTACAATTATTGTCACATTGTTTGTGTATTTCCTTGTTGTTGTTTATTTCAACATATGTGCGCTCAACTACCTAATAAATGAATGAATTAACTGATTATTAGCTAACTATAGCTAGTCTCTGTTGAATTTGTGTATTCAATATTTTGTTTTTATTCATCTATTTGTAATATTCAATTATTTTGAACATATGCTTTTCACCCTTACCCCCCTCCTTCATCTCTCTCGGTATATATGTATGTGTACGTGCTTATTTATCTTTAAAAGAAAGAAAGATTAACTATTATGACTCGTATTTAATTTGTATTTATTGACAAACCCTCCCCCCCTATGTGTTTATGTGTCTTTATAACGTACATACATACACCAATAAAGTGCCTATGTCAAGCTCCACTTGTCAATAACAATATTGATACTGTGAACAAAAAGGATTGAGTATATTCTTTATTCATTTTACATTTGATTCGTTCTTTTTTGTTACATTAATACTGCATTATTTATTTGCTTATTATTATTATTATTATTATTACTACTACTACTACTACCACAATTTGTCCGTTAGTCATTTAGTGATTGTTTGCTATCGAAAAAAGAAGGTATATGTAGAATGTGACAACTTACTACTTATTTATCACAATGTTAGTATTATTACTATTATTTATGATTGTTTGCCCTATTTTTTACAGTTGTGTACATAATAACCATTTTCTTTTGTTTTTATCTTTTCCTGCTGAGTATAAAAAACAGAGAGAAAGAGAGAGAATAGTACACAGCTAGACAATAACAGTGAGAGAGAAAAAATTGCATGTATGTGACGATTATTTGTGTTATTTAAGAACAATGTGTGGCTTATTAAAAAGTATTTTGTGTATATTCTAGTCCACCATCATATACACATCACTTTACATATGTACATATATAAATTTAACGTACATACACACATAAATATTGAGTTCTGATCTATTGACCTTTTTGTTTTGTATTAAATGTATTTGTGTATAAAGTGACGAAGCAACTCAGGGACTAGACCACATATACCAATTGAATTAATCCAATAGACTAGTAGTCAATGACTTCATTGACAGGCATCACATTTTAATATTACTATTTCTAACTTTCTTTGGAATCTAGTATTATGCCAGCACACATCCTGTATCCTGGTAGATGGTTGTTGGGTGTACGTTATGTCTCGACTGACAACCTCATTAACTGATTTACTAGCTTTGCTTAGTAGCCTGCCTCTAAATTTAACATTGCTCGCTTATTTGTCCTAGCAAACCTGGAGATAACTATAATCAAATCCTACCAACTTGCACATGCTCTATACTTTTAAATGCCACATTTAATAAGAGCGGACTGCAGTGCCATATACTTGCCTGATCGTCGAGACAAACGTTTAGCTTACGATGTGTGTTAGGAAGAGGTAAAGTGGGCCTTTAAAATCCGTGCCGAGTTTCCGTTAGTCATCAGCATATCGGGGTTGATGAAACTTACAAGGCAAGTTAAGTGGTATTTGTTCAACTACTTCAATTCTTACTGCTAGTTCTTGCGCTGAAAGAGACCAGTGCTGAAGCAGTATTTCGCATTAAGAGAAAGACGCATCCCAGACACGCGTTGTCGGGCTGTTATCTTAATTATATACTTCGTAGACAAATCAACTTTATCACCGTTACTGCAATAATTACCAAATCTATATCATATTCGGAAATCAGAGAACGAAGCTCATTTCGAATGATGCATTTTCTAGCGAACAGCTGAAGTGACGTCTGTTAAGATCATTGAGAACATGCAAGAACTATCCAGTTATTCACCCTTTGTCTGGGACTCCTAGGCGCTGATTAGGCAGCTTTTCCAACTGTATAGAACTTTTATGTCTTATGACAAGCACAGTCTCAATATGACTATCAACTTGGAAAACGACACAGCACTTTTTCTATACTAGTGTGTGCACTGCTGAGAAATACTGATGACGTCAACTCGTGAGTATTACTATATAAGGACCGCCAGGTATGTTGTCAATGAAATAACATTAGGTCTGACCTCAATCACCCATCAAGCTGGATTGTTTCTATGTTAGAGGACTGATCGTCAGACGCTGAGCTATCTAGGATAATCAATATGGATTGATCGATTGCATACCATCGACGGGGTCACATGGCAGTATGTCTATTTTCTGATCTATCCAATGTAGCAAATTACCTTGATAAGATTCCACTTGTTCCGTACAACCCCCATAAAACACGCACTACCTGATCATCACGACAGAGCGATCCTGGATAGGTGTTATTCGCGTATGACCTCGACATAAGTTAGGCAGTCATGTTATTTCCCAATCAAATCGAGTGGATTTATTATCCGCAAACAATTTAAATGTTGACAGAGTAGACAAAAAGATACAGACAGATTCCAAAATCGGTCAGCTACAACGTAGAACTAGGCACATGTATGAATCGGTCCAAGTCGCCATACCACATTAGCACAGCAAGATGAACACCGGATTCACAGGAGTAGTTAAGTCAGTGGTGGTAATATGTAAAAGAAAGGTTGTATATAAGGGTATAGTACAGGAAGAGAGAATTATTTGGTAGAAAGAAAGATATGAAGCGATTTTAACCTCATAATTTAAAGGAAGACAGACAGTGTAAACACCTACACCATTGTGATCGATTCTGAGCCATGTCATCCACAATCTCCAACCATTGGTTATGATAGTCACACGGACCCCAAACAAGTGGTCTGGATCTAACAACGTGTCTCAAACCAGAAGCTAGTGGCTTCAAGAACTGATGCCACGTTTTGGTTTGACCGACCCTAACTTCTCCCAACCGTCCCCAACACTGGTCAGCATTTCACGTCGTGGTAATCGGTGTTCAGGCATACGCAACACGTGGCCAAACCATCTCAGTCGATCAAGATTCATAACCTCATCAACTGACTTATCATCATTCCCTGCGTCTAACCTCATTATTACTTACCCGCTGATCCCAGCAGATGCGAACAATATTTCTAGGACATCTGTGGTCAAATACTAGTAGCTTACGAGTATCTTCGACTCTTAATTAATGACCTCTTTTCTAAGCAGTGAAGTAGAACAGAACGAACTGCTGCACAGTATGCTCGTCCCATAATTGATAGAAGGATATCTCGCCTTCGCCGTAGGTGACGTAAGTTGGCAACAGTCAAACTAGCTTTTCGAATCCGTGTTGAGATTTCGTCAGACACTAACCCATTTGGGCTGATCAGACTTCCAAGATAAGTGAAGTTGTCAACGTGTCCGACTACGTCATTTCCTATCCTTAATTCAGGTGTTCACGCAGGTCAGTCCTGAAGCAACAACTTGCATTCCAAAATATGTAAACAAGAAAAAATAAATAAATAAAAGCGATAAGTCTTATATTTATAATAATACAAGCAATATGCAATTCAAACTGTTAATAACAAACACAAGATCAACATACTTAGTTGAATAATATATTCCATCTAATTCACTAATATTTTATTAGTATTAAAAGAATGATCACAAATCAATCTTATAATTGATTGAATTACAAATATGTATATTAAATTATGTAAATAACAATATACTACTGAAATATAACAATTTCACTCCAGTATTCTACATATTATGAACACAGTTCATATGAAATAATAATAATAATAATAATAATAATAATAATAATAATAATATTACTGCATTATTATTACCAAGTTATAGTAACCATTCTTCTAATAAGTATTTCACATGGCAATTTAAAAGTTTTTCTAAATTTTCATCTAAATTCTTTAAATAATCCATTTTTAATTTATTTTTATTTAAATGACATGGATATGGAAGTATTGTATTACTATTATTATTATTATTATTATAACTTCTATTAGCTGTTAATAAATCATATTCTATTGCATATAAAAATTTAGATAGAATAAGTTTTGTTATTTTCATAGAACATTGTATAGTTAAATTAATTGGTCGATGTAAATTATAACATTCTAATGGTATTTCTAATGCTTCTTGAGCAGCTCCACCGATTACATATATACGTCCATCTAAACCAAGTGTTACAGTATGCCAATGACGATGAATCGGTTTATTTAATGTTTGCATCGTTGTTGTTGTTGTTGATGATGATGATTGTGATGATGATGATGACGACGACGACGACAATGAAGGAAACAATTCATCCACACTAAATATAATAGTAGGAGTATTTACAATATCAATATAAAACGGTGATTGACTACTATAACATATTAATGTTGACATGATTGTTTGTTGTATATATTGTGATAAACGATCAATACGATCTCTATAATAATTTATTGGATTATGTATTTGATTTGGTTTAATCAATAATAATAATTTATTAAGAATTAATTGATCATTTAAATCTAATTGATATATTGGTAATGATAAAGAGTTTTCAGAATGTTGTTTTTTATTTATATTTAATTGTGGTATTAATTTTTGTATTAATTCTAAACTATATTCACTTGTTAACCAACTATTTTGTTCTTGTAACATCATTTGAATTATTTGCCAAGGTAACATGAATTTAAAAAATATACCTATTAATTGAGTTAATGCACTAAGAAGAGGGAAATTTTCAGAACCATGTGACATATTAAAAATTGAATTTTGTATAGGTTCCAAATAGAATTGATAATTTTGACACATATTACTCAAATCTTGAATAAATTGACTGTTCCTAGTAACAGTATTATTATTATTAGTAGTAGTAGAGTTCATCTTTGAATTTTTATCCTTATGATTATTGATAGTATATAAACAATAATTTTCATTTAAATATTGTATAAAAATAGTATGTAACAAAGCAATACGATATAATGGATCTTTAGGATTTATACATTCCTCAGATTTATTATTATTATAATTATGTATTGTATATGATGAATCTTGATACATATGTAAGTGATAATTGAAATTTTGTAAAAATAAATTCAAATTATTTATCATATTATTATTATTACTACTACTATTACTATTACTACTACTATTACTATTACTACTATTATTATTATAAGTAGTATGATGATTAACTTTAAATAATTCAGTAATCATATTTGAATCAATTGAATAATAGAATGCAATTAAATCTATATACAATTGTTCATTGAATAAAATTTCTCCAAATGAATTTACATTTAAATAGATATATTTTTTATAATCAAATGATTTCTGTAAACATATATAACCATCTATAAGAATTGGTTTATTTAAATGATTATTATGATGATTCATTGAATTCAATGATTCAATATAATAATCATATTGTTTATTTAAATTCATTAAATAAGAATTATTATTATTATTATTATTATTATTATTATTATTAAACATAACATTTGCCTCTTTTGTAGAATGAATAATTTCAGCTTTTAATTGTTTATCTTGTTTACATAAATGAATATTTATTAAATAAGCATCATTTAATGATTCTTCATGATTAGAATAACCACCATGAAGAAATAATTGAATATTCATTTCATTCAGTGTTTTATGTCTATAAGAAGAAGAAGAAGAAGTAGACAACGATGACGACAACGACGACGACGAAGAACAAGAACAAGAACAAGAATCATTTTGTATAGATAATGAATCATTTATAACAATCATATTCGTCCAAGATCGACCACATGGCCAAATACATGATGATATTGTTGGTTGTTTAATATAATCATTACTTGTTATATATGGTATATCTAATGGTGTTAAAATTTTAGTCCATTCCATTAAATTAATATTAAAACAATACATATCATTTAATCTACCCATACGATAATCAGAGAATTCTTGTGATGTATTACTATTATTAACATCATTATAATAATTATATGGACCACGACCACCAAATATAATTAACCAACCATGATTAGGTAATATAATAGAACAATGAGCTGCACGTGGTGTTGGAAATTTACCAATAACATTTGATTGACTAATTAAATTCCATTGATTTTTATAAATATCATAAATAATTAATTGATTATTCCATCCACCATTACTATCACATATAATCCAACTTTGATTATTATCATTTGGATCATAAAGATATGGCCAATGATATAATTGATTTGGCCATATAGATAATGGTTTAAATTGTGGACCATAACCACCAAATATATAAAGTTTACCATGCCAATATTCCATACAACATTTATCACGTGGTGATGGTAAAAGATTATTACATTGTTTATCATTAGACTTTAATTCAATATTAACTGGATGATAATAATCTAATTGTCTTCGTAATGATTTTAACATTGTGAAATGAATACATTGATGTATAGAAATATCTTGTTGTGAACATGCTAAATAACTTAAAATACCATGTCCACTTATTACAGAAGCATGACAACAATGTGGTCTTAATCCAGTTGATGTTATTTTATTCTCTTTCTTTAATTCTTCTTCATTATTATTATTATTATCATTATTATTATTATTATTATTATTATTATTATTATTATTATTATTACTATCATGATTATTATTATTATCTATATATTTTGATAGATTAGTATGAGTTAAGTCATAACGACATAATGCATTTAAATGAATATTACCTAATAGAGAATAACCTCCAAATGTATATATACATGCTGATTGTTTCTCATTATTTACATTTAATAATTCTGGACATAATACTGCACTATTACCAGATGTTAATAAAATTAATTCATTGAACATATGATCTTGTAATGATTTAATATCCCAATGTATTGGTAAACATTCTATACGATTTGTTAATATATCATATCGTGTTAAACCGATTCGTTCAAAAAGAATCATCTAAATATAAAAAACAGTAACAAAAAAGAAAAAAAAAAGTAACATACATCAAATAAGTACTGATTATTTATTTCATATAAAATTTAATAGAACTCCCTAATTAAAAATAGTATTGGTATAGTCTAAAGCCGCCAATCAGAGAGCAAGCGAATTATCAATCGGATCAAGGACGCGTATAACACGTGCGAGCTGTCTAGAGTCCTGATTGGTCCTGCTTTCCGCCTAGCTCCACCTGTTAAGTTCAGAACACCAATCCGAGCCTCTGCAATATAAATCATTTATTTCAAACATACTGAGTTTATATACCAACCAAACAGATCACATCGTACCAATAAAACAGGAAACAACATTTGTACAAGATTTAGCCAAATGTGGCTGTGAATAAGGAAGATAGTAATTAATAGACAGCGCATAATTCAAGAATGGTAAATCGTATAATAATAGCTCATAAATCGAAATAAAGCTCATAATAAGATGAACATGAATATGAACAGTTTAGTTATTCAACAATTATACGATAAAAATATACGTTCAGTTATTGGTTCATAAAAGGATCCCAAAATTACCATTCATTATGTTTATCGGGACCTAACAAGTATACATCGTTAAACAAATATTTTTATATAGATATGGGCCTGGGATATTAATCGGATCGCCAAACTAAATCAAGCTGTTAACGTAAAGCAGTATATCCAAGGGTTTAATCTATGGGATAGTGTAACAAAATCAAGAGATGCTGTTTTATGTTAGCCGATGACATAAGTAGGTTTATATGCTACAGGAACTTGGAACTCATATTCATCATTAATTTCGAATCAAGGTTTTCTAGCTCCAACAACCCTGTTTAAGAGCTATATGTTTGATTTTTTGTCATCTTACTTTCGTTAAAAACATAGCAGTCAGGTGGCGGCAGTGAGAAAGACTTCTCAAACAAAGGTTCTAAACTCATGGGCATATGACAACACCTAGAAGAGAGAAAACTGTCTCCACCCTCAATAGCACCAAATATTTTCGGAGAACATATATATATATCAGTCAGTCAGCTACAAAGTAGGACCAGGCACATCTGTACATCGGTCCAAGTTTCCATATCGCATTACCACAGCAAGATGAACACTAAATTCATAGAGGTAGTTAATTCAGTGGTGGTAATATACAAAGAGAGTTATTAGGTGTATGAAGGATTTGAATGTGACCAACTTGGTCTCGTGTGTTGCTACGGGTATGAGGGCTGATATCACTTCCCGGCTTCCCACACCATGGAAGAGTATTTCTTGAGGAATATGAAAAGGAAGTTGGATTAACGTCGGTCTTAACGACTTGGGAGCGTGACCGCAGAGCCCGTAAGACAACTGCTTGAGGCCGGTCGCGCACGGCCTTTTTGTGGGAGATTTTTGACGTGTTAGCTCCGTTCTTTAAAGGGCCTTACCGCTGGAGATGGAAATCCGTGACGTAAGGTGAGGTGTGCCATTTTTAGGGTCGACCTTTTGTGACCCCTTCCTTCCTTGTGAGAAGGCAGCATCGCTGCAAATGCTGCGATATATATATATATATATATATATATATATATATATATATATATATATATATATATGCAAGTAACTAAATAAGCAAGCACACTGACCACACATTTACAACTCCCACTTGACAGATAAACATTCCAATAGTTGAGATCATGAGTCAATTGAAGCTAGATCACCATGGATAATCTGGAAGCACTGGACGGCCGTTTCGTCCTATTGTGCGACTCCTCAGCAGTACGCATCCAACGGTGTTAATGTCTAACTTCAACTAATCCACAAAATTGAGCAACAATCCACAAAAGAACAAAACGGCCGTCCAGTGATTCCAGATTTTCCATGGTGGTCTATCTTTAATTGTCTCATAATCTCAACTATTAAAATTAGAATAATATCCACAAAACCCCTTCTGATACCAAACAAATATTTATCCAAACTAAGATCGTATACATTGCAAAATAAACAAAAGTACATATGTTTGTTGCTACGCACTATAAACCACATAATATCATGTAAATGACAAAATTCTACATTCACTATTTCAACATATATTAATGTACAGTCCAGTTAAGTCAAGAATTTTTAAACCATTGTGTAGAATTTTCTACAAAGCAGGAGTAGATAATGAAACTAAGAAGAAAAGACTGATTATTGAAAATGCAATCGCCCAATTACGCAACCAATCCGTATGAAACGTAATTTGAATCACACCAATTTTAATATTTGTAAGTATCATAAATGAGATGATAAAACTAAACATCAAATAACTTGATAAAGTTTGTTGTACTTGGAAGTAGTTGACTTGAATCACCGAACCGAATAGAAATCCGTTCATCTTATTAAATCACTACCTCACTGAATGAGTTCTCCATCATTACAAAAATCTATATTTTCATCACAAAACATTTGATTAAGGAAACCAGGATTTTCATCTTGATTGATTTGTGACTAGGACTTCTATTCAAATTCAATATCGTTAAACATTCCAAAAACACTGCAGTTAATGAAATCAAATGCCACATGGAGTTCGAAAGGTGGGATTAGAACGAAAAAGATTGCAAGGCATGTTTGCTTTCAGAAGGTGAAAATATACGATTGACGTACATCCAACAAAAAATACCATTCTCGGTCTTCCTCAAATTTCCCTTTAATCCTCCGCTGAATTGTTGAACAACTATGACATCTATGATTTCAAGAACTATGCAAATCAAGTTATTGTTATTGTGAGCACATTTCTGTTCACTGTCACGAACTACCGCAAAATATAATACTAATTTTCTGCACCCAAGTAAATCCGAAATCGCGTAAAGTAATAATTCAGCAGTACGAAAGTTAGGGATTTCTGAACATAACTTATCGAAACTTGATTACTATACTTTCATTACGTCTGTTGTAGTTTTCTAATTAATTAATGGGTCGATCTCAATGTCTAGTTTAAGCAAAAGCTAGGGCCTTTGTGAACGGATAAAGCTTTGTTAAATTGAGCTTTTGTATAAGACCACCGATGTATATATGTGCCTGGTCCTACGTTGTAGCTGACTGACTGACTAGTCATCTTAACTATCAGATAATAGTATGTTTTATGAACCACCTGTATTACTTCCCCATAACCCCACTGATTACTTTCATTTTAAAACCAATCTCCTAAGAAAAATAAACAACTGATTAAGGGCAACTTATGTGATATGATTAGCTTACTTTAGTTTCCTCTCTTTCCCATCCACCTAAACTCCTTCATCTACTGTGTAAGTGTTTTTGAGAGCAGGCATCATTACCAAGGTTTGACTTGATAGTTTCAAAGTGAGCATTGAGTAGATTGTTATTAATAGAAGTAATATGTGTGTAACATTTTGATGAGTAGAAAAATTGAGTTTTTACATTTTTTGATGTTTCGTGACTTAGTGTAAGCCACTTCTTCAGAGAATAAAGAAACAAATTAAATGAACCCAAGATTAAATAAAACAAAGCCAAAATTTTTGGTGCAATCAATGAAAAACAGGTACGAGGACAAAATATATTCCCTGCTGAAATCAAACATACTTCACTCCTCAACGCTGAAAAATGCACTCACGATCAATCTCAACAACCATGAAACCTGTATCGACCGACTGTTACCACTGCTATTTGCGTGCCGAACATCAAACAATTGGTCACAAAAATTCAAATACTCAGCGAATTAATTTGATTCTAATAAATCCAGTCAAACAAATAAACACAACTACAGCTTACTTTATCATCTGAAGGGCCGTAACCATTTAAAACATAGATGTACCGTCCATGGGATACTGCTGAATGTCCAGTACGTGATAACGGATGTACAGGGTCACCAACCCCTTTCCAATGTCTACTGTGTGAATGACTATTCATCCTGAAAAAAAGATATTACGTTCAAGATTTTCTTTAAAAAAGGTGAATAAATAATCCACTAAAATGTTTAACTTCTATATATATGTGTTTAAAAATTAATTACACATAGGCAAATATTACCACCTATATATATGTTTTGTAAACAGATTACTATGTGAGTCAAAGCATGTAATACACAATTATTATTACAAGCCTTGAGTAAAATAATTCTACCTCCCAACTCTGAACTTTATTGATTTTTTTAATGACATCAACAAGCCATCCGTTTTGTGACCATCTCAGCAAAAACCACTCAAATTCATGTAGGTACATGATATTCTTAATTAATTTCACTTCCCGAAAGCAAGACGCCTAATTTCGAATTGCTTAGTGCTTCGTCTCATTATGCTATTTATTTATCATATGCAGCTTTTAGAACTATCTATTCCTCTCACCCTTCCAAAAAAATGTGGACTGAAGAATGAGTCACGAGACACTCAGTCAGTCAGCCAAAACGTATGAACAGGCACGTATATGCATCGGTCCAAGTTGCCATACACCATTAACGCAACAAGATGAACACCAAATTCATAGAATTAGTTCATTCTATGGTAGTAATGTATAAGAGAAAGATTTTGTATTAGGATATAATACAGGAAGAAAGAATTAGATAGTAGAAAGAATGTTATTAAGCGATTTTATTCTCACGGTTTACGGGGAGACAAAGAGCGTATACACCTACTTCATTGTGATCAATTCTGAGCCATGTCATCCACAGTCTCCAACCATTGGTTATGATAGTCACACGGACCCCAAACAAGTAGCTTGTATCTATCTATCTATCAACATGAATGATGCTATGTTTTGGTTTCGCTGTCTCTAATTTTCTTCCAACCATCCCCAACACTGGTCAGCATTGCACGTCGTGGTAATTAGTGTTCAGGCATACGCAACACGTGGCCAAACCATCTCAGTCGATCAAGATTCATAACCTCATCAACTGATTTACCATCATTCCCTAATACCCTGCGTCTAACCTCACTATTACTTACCTGGTGATCCCAGCAGATACCAGCAATATTTCTAAGGAACCTGTGGTCAAATACTAGTAACTTACGAGTATCTTCTACTTTTAATGGCCATGTTTCGCAGCATTAAAGTGATCAAATAAAAACTCTAGATGGTACTACCGACTGGAAAATAATCAAAGTGGTCGACTTTTTCGTCACCTTATTAGACATTTGCAGTTTACGGGCTCAATGACAGAATTATTTGTATCACTTCATACTTGAATTAAAAACACATTCATACTAAGCGTCGTATCTGAGTTGGTCGTAGTGCCTACACTCCTGTTTTTATCTTACCAAACATTTTTTCCTATTTTGTTCATGTGAAGTGAGGACTTGAAATTATGTACATTCGTGCCAAAACACAGATTACTGACTATTTTCTCCATGACTGGTATTAAACATTACTTCAAAATCTAAACAAAATGAACTGTGGTGATGACGGGGTATTTTTACTACCAAGTAACTAAACGTTTTTTGTTAACAAACAGTATTGAAATCATAAATATGACACTCAGAATGAAACAATATGATCACAGATACTTACTAAGATGGTTATTATAGGTCGGGTGAAATGGGGAAAACTGGACAACTAAAACTGGAAACTAACTGCGTGAGATTCCAAATGTGTTAGAATATATAAATATAAATATGTACATGGTATGTGCTAATTATAATCACAGCAGTAAGTAAGAATGTTTATTATAATGTATTTTATAAGTTACATAAACTGAGATTACACTATTTCGGATTAAACCCAAATAATAACATACTTAAAATTTTTGATGGTTATTATTATTCTATTCTATGCACATTTGCATCATACGAAACATTTAGTACCGCTCATCTGGATTTTCCCGGACAAGCGATATGTCCAATATCCTTGGCTTGAGTCCATAGTCGTTTTTCAGTAGTACGGATAGGAGGTCTATCGACCTATATTTATTCTTGCGATTCGCAACACCATGAGGGTCCACTCTTGTTCTGAATATGTCAATAGAATGTACTGATATCACGTGTTCTGGTAGAGAATTCTAATAATTCATCACTCAATGCGAAAAACGGAATTTAGATCCCGGTTTTTAAACCTTCTTAGAATATCCAAATAATCACAGCAGTAAGTAAGAATGTTTATTATAATGTATTTTATAAGTTACATAAACTGAGATTACACTATTTCGGATTAAACCCAAATAATAACATACTTAAAATTTTTGATGGTTATTATTATTCTATTCTATGCACATTTGCATCATACGAAACATTTAGTACCGCTCATCTGGATTTTCCCGGACAAGCGATATGTCCAATATCCTTGGCTTGAGTCCATAGTCGTTTTTCAGTAGTACGGATAGGAGGTCTATCGACCTATATTTATTCTTGCGATTCGCAACACCATGAGGGTCCACTCTTGTTCTGAATATGTCAATAGAATGTACTGATATCACGTGTTCTGGTAGAGAATTCTAATAATTCATCACTCAATGCGAAAAACGGAATTTAGATCCCGGTTTTTAAACCTTCTTAGAATATCCAAATAATCACAGCAGTAAGTAAGAATGTTTATTATAATGTATTTTATAAGTTACATAAACTGAGATTACACTATTTCGGATTAAACCCAAATAATAACATACTTAAAATTTTTGATGGTTATTATTATTCTATTCTATGCACATTTGCATCATACGAAACATTTAGTACCGCTCATCTGGATTTTCCCGGACAAGCGATATGTCCAATATCCTTGGCTTGAGTCCATAGTCGTTTTTCAGTAGTACGGATAGGAGGTCTATCGACCTATATTTATTCTTGCGATTCGCAACACCATGAGGGTCCACTCTTGTTCTGAATATGTCAATAGAATGTACTGATATCACGTGTTCTGGTAGAGAATTCTAATAATTCATCACTCAATGCGAAAAACGGAATTTAGATCCCGGTTTTTAAACCTTCTTAGAATATCCGTCCAAATGATCAGTTTTAGAGGAAAGGAAGAGATAAGACATTAGTACCAAGGTTATCGTTCAGTATAGGATAAGCCAATATAAGATCACCCTGTAATCTGCGGTAATATAACAGAAATAAGTTGAAGTGTTTCAGTCTTTCTTAATAGGACAGACCAGAGAGAATCTTTACCATTTTAGCACACCGTTGTTTCTCTCGTTCTAGCATATCTGCCTCATACTTGAAACAAGGACTGGTTGCTTGAATCCCATATTCCAGATGCGGACTAACGAAAGTCGGGTACAATACCCTAAACATTTCTTTGTCCAAGATCTGAAAATACTTGCAAACAGCACATAAGATACTCAAACCTTTTACAGCATAGGCCTTACAATTACTTATAGTTTTGAAGTTACTAATTTTCATTACTCCTAGATCTTGATAGTTGATTAATTAAGGTAACACGACTCCACATATTGTGTAGTTTTATGAATCGTCATAGTTATTTTTCATTACATCACCACACTCTTGTTAGAAGTTAGTTCTAATGACCACCTATCTGTTAATTCAGCCATTGAATTTATATCATCCTGTAATATTATGCTATCTGACATCCTGTTTAGAGATCACCGAATCTTAAATGTCATCGGTAAAGAGTAGAACGGATGACTGCTACAATTGGTAATTTGTTTACATAGAGTAAAGAAAGAAAGGGACCAAGGTTTGCATCTTGAGAAACTCCACTTTTTGCAGATTCCGACCCTGAGAGAGCTCCATTTATCTTTACTCACTGTCGCCCATCATAGAGAAAGCCGCTTATCCAGTCTGTGATTTCATGATAGGTTTCAAAACTTTCCCGTTTTAATTGAAGACCCGAATGAGAGACCTTGTCAAATTTCTTACTCAGATTTATGAAAGTCATATTCACAGCATTATTTCTATTCTTTACTGAAGCCCGATCTCTTCCAATAAGCAAATTTGTCAAGCATGATGGGTTTTTTATTAAAACCATGTTGTTCCCTGGATAATAGCCTATACCTTTCAAGTATAGTTTAAAATTGCCATCCGAATAACCTTTTTCATTAGTGTGACAACTACGGTGATTAGACTGATGCATCGATAGTTACGAAATATTTATGCTACCCGCTTTATACACTAGACTGGTTATTGAGTCTTTTCAGTCTTAGAAGTCTGGATTGTCGGAAAGATGTATAAAAAAGTATGGATATAGGCCCACCAATTACATCTGATAGCGCTCTCATAAGCTTAGGATGAATCTAGACAAGACTACTGTACCTAACTGTTCTGAAGTGTTGAAGCAATCTGAAAACAGTTCCTTTGTCAATAATTACAGGATCCATCGAGGAGCCGCCTAGGTAACGATTAATGATAGAAACCAGTTTACCAAAATATCATGTTAAAGCCTCAAGCTTTCCGGCATTATCTCTTGACAATATCAACATATTTTCTGCTACCAGAAATGGTAGATTCCTTGGTTTCTCTTGGCTGGCCTCTTTATGTACGAGACTAACCTTTTCGGCCCATTTTCTACCTCCTTAACTGTTTTTCATATGACTGTATTGTCTTACTTATCAACGGTTTACGATCATTCCTAAACTTACAATAACTGAGCCCATACTTTTCCAAGATTGTAGAGATGAACATATTTCAACGTTTTTCCTACGTCTGAGAAGTTGCTTGACTTGTTGCGTCATCCATGGTGGACAGTTATTTGGCCTACGTGGTACTAAGCATGGTATAAACAAGGACGTAACTGGAATAAATCTACCTTTAAATATGGACCATACTGTTTCAACTGGTGAGCCAGTATCTACTGACCAGCCCTTCTCGTGGCGCGCTCCTGAATGACTGGTGTGTCTGCTCTCCATACATTAGGGCGAGATTTAACGCAATTGTATATTATGTCACCAGCTCTAAATAACATGATCACTACTTGCTATGAACTTCGAATTCAGATTCAACTTTGGAAGAGTATGCTTTTCAACACCTTGTCCAATGCTTTGCTGAAGTCAATATGGACAATGTCCACTGCTTTTCCACTATATAACGCCTCTATCTATTGCTTTCCTGAAGTAAAGAAGTTTGTTGTGCAGAACAATCCTTTCCTGGAACCACGATGTTTGCTTTTCAACAACTTGTTAGTTTTCACGAGTGTCATTATGGGCTTTTCGATCATTGTTTCCAGTAATTTAACTACGACACTGGTGAGACTGACAGATCCGTAGTTTGGTGGGAGTTATCTTGATTCTGTCCTGAGAAGTGGAGTGACAATTGAATCCTTACAGTTTATCCATAAATTACTTTTGCCAAGTGACATATTCGACATCATATTCAGCGATGCAGTAACGTATTGTGTGGTGCGTTTCAAGATTTAAGGACGTATTTCATCCGGCACTGTTGATATTTTCGTGTCCACAATGTCAATAGCCTTTAGTACATCGTTTCGATCAAAGTCCACAATGAGAAGTCGACTTCGTGGATTTGTATTAGGGTCTAGTTCTTAGTCTAGAAGAGGCTGCTGAATGAAAACTGTCCCGAAATAGTGTTCCATGGTACAACACATTCAGCTGACATGTCGTCGGGATTAGTAGGCGGTGGAAGAGCTGCCAGTAAAGCATGTCCATTGAATGACTCACCTCATTCTTATCAATCTCCGTTCACTGAAGTTCGTCTACTGATAGAAAAATTCTTTGACGATGATAAAGAGTTGTGTAGTTGTTGATTGAAATTATTCCGAGCTCAGGCAATCATCCTAGTTCCTTAATGTCACCACTAGGGAGAAGCATCAGTCCGACTTCACAGTGTGACACGCTAGATAATTTTAAAACCCACTGTTTACCAGTCCATCCACAGTTTACGAACCGTTCATCAAATGATTTGTATTCACCGCAGTCATATGATCATGGGGCAACGTTTTCACAATCATCAAGAGTAGGGGATGGATCTAATGTCTTTAATATTGATAACATGTCACAATCATCATCCATTTATCATACTGATGGAGAAATAACACAAGCTGTCAACCCAATTCATCATTCTCTATTCAAAGCACTTGTAAGTCAATCGCTTACCTCCGGGATTGTACTGATATATACCATATTGGTCATTTGTTACAAGCGTTTGTTAAACATCATGGAAGTTTCAAATCCTGTTTAAAAGAAAACTTACTTCAGTGGATGACTTCTGGCCCAGTTATTATTAACGATTCAAGTTTTTTATCACTCCATAGTAATAACCCCAATAATAATACTATACCATAATTCCACATAGCTCCACCTGGAGTCCCTCCGGGGGCTACTGCCGGTCCCAAGCCCGGATAAAGGAGGAAGGCTGGGCATTGGGTTAGCGACCCCATCCCGTAGAAAAATAACTCGCTAAAAAAACGCTAACCAGAAAAAATTATTCAAACCATTTAAACTCTGCCCTGGGAGTCAGGAGGTCTTCGTTTAGAAGAATTATGACGCCTCATGATGAAAGCCGAGTTTCTTCGGAAGTCACGAGGCCGATGCCCCTTCTGACAACCAGAGCAACCATTTATTTAGGTACATGGAATGCTCGCACAATGTGGGAGACTGGGAGAGTTTTCCAAATTGCTGCAGAAACGAGGAGATACAATTTAGAGGTGCTTGGGATCAGTGAAACACATTGGACGCAAGTTGGACAACAACGACTAGCTTCAGGGGAGCTGCTGTTATACTCCGGACATGAAGAAGAAGATGCCCCATATACACAAGGAGTTGCATTGATGCTGTCCAAACAAGCACAAAATGCACTTATAGGATGGGAATCTCATGGACCAAGGATCATCAAAGCCTCCTTCAAAACAAAGAAAACGGGGATTACAATGAACGTCATCCAATGCTACGCGCCTACCAACGAATACAATGAAGATGCTAAAGATCAATTCTACAATAGGCTGCAGTCAATCGTTGAGAAGTGCCCAACAAAGTACCTGACTATTCTGATGGGAGACCTAAATGCCAAGGTTGGAATTGACAACACCGGATATGAAGAGATCATGGGACGGCACGGACTGGAAGAAAGGAACGAAAATGGTGAGAGATTTGCAAATCTATGTGCCTTCAATAAACTGGTCATAGGCGGCACTATATTCCCACATAAACGCATCCACAAAACTACATGGACTTCACCGGATCACAGCACACAGAACCAAATCGACCATATCTGCATCAACAAAAAGTTCAGGAGGACGATGGAGGATGTGAGAACAAAGAGAGGAGCTGATATAGCATCAGATCATCACTTGCTGGTCGCCAAGATGAAATTGAAACTCGAAAGGCATTGGACAACGGGGAAGACAATATCACAAAAGTTTAATACGGCTCTTCTTCGGGATAGTGACAAACTCAATAAATTCAAGATAACCCTCAGCAATAAGTTCCAAGCCTTTCATGACCTACTCAATGGAGAAGGAACTACTATGGAGAGCAACTAGAAAGAGATAAAAGAGGCAATCACTTCAACATGTCATGAGGTTCTGGGCCAAAAGAAGCACCATCACAAGGATTGGATCACTGTTGATACACTGGATAAGATTCAAGAAAGGAGGAACAAGAAGGCAGCAATCAATACCAGTCGAAAAAGAGCAGAAAAAGCCAAGGCACAGGCTGAATACACAGAAGTAAACAAGCAAGTGAAGAGGAGCATCAGAACTGACAAACGTAAATACGTGGAAGATTTAGCAATGACCATAAACCAGAACGACCAGTGAAAAGCAAGGAAGGCAAGGTAATCATCAACACTGAATAACAGCGAAACAGGTTGGTAGAACACTTCAAAGAACTGTTGAGTCGACCAGCTCCACTGAACACACCCATCATCGCAGTAGCACCCGCGGACCTCCCAATCGATGTTGACTCACCAAAAATTGAAGAAATCAGCTTGACCACCAGAAAAATCAGGTGTGGCAAAGCAGCAGGACCAGACAATATTCCAGCAGAGGCACTAAAAGCAGATGCGCCAGTAACTGCAAGGATACTCCACATTCTCTTTGACAAGATTTGGGATGAGGAACAAGTACAAAGAGACTGGAAAGAAGGACAGTTGATCAAGGTACCAAAGAAAAGCGATATCAGTAAGTGTGATAACTATAGGAGCATCACTCTTTTCTCAATGCTAGGAAAAGTCTTCAACAGGGTGTTGTTAAACAGAATGAAGGACTCTGTAGACGCACAGCAGGCAGCATTCCGTAAGGAAAGATCGTGTACAGATCAAAATGCAACTCTATAGATCATTGTAGAACAATCAATTGAATGGAATTCATCACTCTTCATCAACTTCATTGACTACGGAGAGGCATTTGACAGCGTGGACAGAACAACCCTATGGAAGCTTTTTCGACACTATGGCGTTCCTCAGAAGATAGCCAATACATCAGGAATTCCTATGATGGATTAAACTGCAAAATCGTTCATGGAGGATAGTTGACAAAGTCGTTCGAAGTAAAGACCAGCGTCAGATAAGGTTGCTTACTCTCACCCTTTCTCTTTCTCCTGGTGATCGACTGGATAATGAAGACATCAACACCTGAAGGGAGGCATGGGATACAATGGACATGTAGGATTCAGTTGGACGATCTAGACTTCTCAGATGATCTGGCTCTTCTATCGTACACGCAACACCAAATGCAGGAGAAGACAACCAGTGTAGCAGCAGCCTCAGCAGCAATAGGTCTCAATAAACACAAAGGGAGAAGCAATATTCTCCGATTCAACACAACATCCACGGATCCAATCACAGTTAACGGAGAACCTTTGGAAGATGTACAAACCTTTACATATCTGGGCAGCATCATTGATGAACACGGTGGATCTGATGCAGATGTGAAGGCATAGATCGGCAAAGCAAGAGCAGCATATTTACAACTGAAGAACATCGGGAACCTAAAACAACTCTCTGTCAACCAACACCAAAGTCAGGATTTTCAATACAAATATCAAGACAATTCTACTGTATGGGGCCGAAACCTGGAGAACTACGAAAGCCATCATCCAGAAGATACAAGTGTTTATTAACAGTTGTCTACGCAAAATACTTCGGATCCGCTGGCCGGACACTATAAGAAACAACCTACTGTGGGAGAGAACAAACCAGATTCCAGTGGGGGAAGAAATCATGAAGAAGCGCTGGAAGTGGATAGGACACACATTGAGGAAAGCACCGAACTGCGTCACAAGACAATTCCTCACATGGGATTTTCAAGGCCAGAGGAGGAGAGGAAGACCAAAGGACACATTACTCCGAGAAATAGAGATAGACATGGGAAAAATGAACAAGAATTGGATAGAACTAGAAAAGAAGGCCCGGGACATGGTGGGTTGGAGAATACTGGTCGGCGGCCCATACTCTATTAGGAGTAACACGCGTAAGTAAGTAATAATTCCACATACCTACCCCGACCGAATCTGTAACGGCGTTAGAGCCTCCTTTTTAATAAGACCCCATGAAGGACAAGTAAAATCCTATTGAAAGGATAGTTGCTTTAGTAGATTCAAATGGTTCAAATGGATGTAGACGGAATAGAAGAAGCTTTCGCTTAACAGGCTTCCGTGTCTAGTAGCAGGGGATCACCAATACCTCCAGGCAAGAACCTAGGTATATTAACGATAAAAGAGAAAAAAATGAATTGGTAAATCATAGTAAGATGCTATCCTTAGTCCTTAAACATAGATCAAGTCGCCTCTTGAGGGAATAATCATGTTTATCATTTGACCTTCATAGCTGAGCCGCGTCGTATCGGTAGTCTTCGTGCATCGGCTTTTATTGACCACATATTCTTGAGGTCTTGCCATCCGACTTAAGCGGAGTAACAATAGGAGTACCCCATGCTGAAGACTGGATCGGTTCAATTATTTCGTTTTTGCACACAAATCAAGTTCATTCACAGCCTCGTAGTTAACACGCAGTTCTAGCATCTTGAAAGGAACAGTTCGGCATTCTTAACAGCTCTCTTTCCAAACCCGGTATGTTAATCCCTGCAATTAATCGGTCTCTCAGTTGCACATGAAGTTGATCACCGAAACTACATTTGGTAGCTTGTTTCTGCAATTCAAGGATGAATTCCCTGACCTTTTGGTCATTTTGACGAATTATCTTATGAAATCTCGCCCTATAACGGCATTCAAAACTAGTGCACTTTACATGATTTAGTAATAGCTCCTTAAGAGTTGCATAGGGAAGTGAGATAGGTTTTTCTTGATATGTCAAAGTTTTTAATAAGCTGTACGCTTCACTTCCGATGAATGTCAGGAAGTGTGCCACAATTTTATCATCTTTAACATCTTTCTTGGTCATGCTCCAGATTTCAAACCTTTCTAAATAATCATCAAAAGCTTCAGAAGTTGAATGAATATCTAGCTGTTCCATCGCGACGCCGATATGATAGTTAGAAGTATTTGAATTGTGGTAAGAACTAATAATCCCAGAAATAACGTAATCAGATGAAGAAGTATTAGATAAGCACAAACGAAGTTACTGTATTTAGCATTCGAAATAAAGCATTCATTAAGTACAAAAAAATTATTAGTTCATTCAAACACCACATTGAACCATTTCAACCGGCATGAAATTCCATATCTTGACTTGGAGTAGAAAATATAAGCATAACTTATTTTACCATGTATTCCTCAAGAGGTTTATTAAGCAGCCAAACATTTGTAAGTATTCTCAAGAGAACACAGAGGTTGTTTAGATTGTAATAAGGTTAATTACAAGCTATTCACATGATGTACGGTAATGATCCAGTACCTAATGAGTTTCTTTCTGAAGCCTCAATTGGAGCCTCCGGACCGGTTTCATGGACCAACTTCAGGCACACCACATAGTGATAATGGATAACGCAATAAAAATAGTTCTTAGGACATAGACAAAATTAACGGAGAAATCGATTTTGTTCATATGTAAAGGGGGGCTTATGTTTGTCATAGGACATCGTCAACTGTAAAACTATGGTCTTATAAGCAGCATTCATTCACGGAAAAGACCACAAAATGATGGAAATGCTAGATTCTGCACACAAACTGAATGTAAAAAATGTATCCTACCATCTGAGAACGAATGTATCAGTTAGCTTACGGACTATTGTTATGAAGGTATTGAATAGTGAAATCACTGACCTTGAATGTTTGTCGCGTAATAGAGGTGTTTAAAGTCCTGGGATGTTTGGCGTTCTCGTAAGTTTGTCTTGAGCTTTTAGTCATACATCTTTATTATTTCTCGAACTCATGTCCTCGCTGATTCTGTTCACTTTGCTTGACGTTTATTGCCCATCATGTGAAAAGTAATCAGTTAACATTATTCCGTTTTGATTTGATTTTCCTAGCTGCTTATTAGATCATTGTTACAGTGACTTGTAAGTATACTTCCATACTTTCTGACCTGCCAGACAATACTAGATTTGATTGTGGAAATGTATCGGTTGTTATAGAAATACTTAGTTATTAGTAGTACACAAGTTCTGCCACTAATATCTGTGATCGTTTCATTTTATTTACCGGTAAAACTATAACACACCGACGAAATAAAACAATTTCAAGGGTAAATGTTTCAGCCAGTGGGAAGAGCTAATCGTACTGACGTTTGTGAAAAATCTCGAAAATTACAAAGTGAGGTCATGAGATTGAGTTATAACTTAATTACTGAACGTATTAAGGCTTGCTCGATTATTTCAGTTGAAAATCACCGTACTGCAATTCTAATGCATCTTAGCTGCTAGAATTAGTACTCATAGATTCTAGATCCTTACCTAATAAACCTAATCATAAGATACGGCTCTTAAAATTTGTTCCACAAGAAAATCATCCAATTCTTCTGAATTCGGAGTATAATGAAAGCTACGAGTCTTTGCGACGTCTTAAATTTGCGTCGATATTTAACAGGGGTGAGCTTTATCCGGATTAGTCGCTCAGATTCATTGTGGAAAGTACAGGGAACTGGGTAGCCTGTGTTAGCCCTGACAATAGTGATTTCTCATTTGATCCAACCTTCTTTTGAAAGCGCCGAATTGAATTCCATTCGTTGACGATTCAATGCGAAAGTCGATAGTCAGCTGACAAGTGATTTATTCTGAGCTTGTGAACTATTCGGAGTATCCTCGTAAATTGTCTGTTTTGGGAGACAGGAACGATGAGGGGATGTCAGATGCAAATTTATCACTAGGCAGTTTAAAAACCGATCAAGTCACCTATGGTTCTTCTATATGGCACTGGAAATAGGTTGAGTTTGGCTAGTCGAACATCATACAGGAGCTTCTTTACCTCAGGAATAAGCTTAGTTGCAATTCTTTACTGGTTACTGTCTCATTTTAGGCAGAGGCTAGCTGCTTATACGCAGTATTCGAGTTTAGGACACACGAATACTGTTAACAAAGTCAAAAAGGGTTTAATATTGACATGGCTAAAGGCCCTACTTATTGACTATAGGGTCCTAAAACCTTTGGCGGCTATTACACGGCAGCGTACAGTAGTTTTTAAATTTGGGCTATCAATGACCCCCAAGTCATTGTGTGGTGGTCCAGTAGGTCAAACGTTCGCGCGCAAGATTGAGAGCCCTAGGTTCGAATCCCGCGAGCGGGATCGTGGGTGCGCACTGCTGAGGAGCCCCACAATAAGACGGAACGGTCATCCGGTGCTTCCAGGTTTCCAACGGTGGTCTAACATCAGTCGGTTCATGATCTCAAACAAGAAACATTAAGTAAAAAAGTCATTGTGTTTCTGGACAGCAAACAACTCATTGTTATTCACAGTGTGTGTATCTGTACCTCGGTGACCACAATATGCACCATTATGCACTTGGAAGCATTTATCGGCAACTGCCGAATTCAAGACCATCCAGACAATTTCCCCAGATCATTGTGAAGCTCTAGGCCATCACTCTCACCATTTATTGCTCTCCATATCTTGACATCGTCAGCATGTAAGAAAACGGATAATGACAGGAAACTAGGAAAGTCACTTACATGGAGGCGGAACAACACTGACCCCAAAATTGTACCCTGAGGCACTTAGCTGAGCATTTTCCCATCTAGACACTTTGTTGGCGTCCAACTAGGAAGTCCTTTATTCACATTAATAATTTGCCTCGAAGCTCACGATATTATTTGACTTATATAACAGCCGGTCGTGAGGAACTTTGTCAGAATCTTTGCTGAAGTCATTATAGGTAAATTCTGATAATTAAGCGCACAACAACTTTCATGAGTTACCGATACGTTATTGAGATAGGAATAACTTGTTCTAAAGCCATTCTGCTTATCATAAAAGAACGCAATTTCCGTCCAGATACTTAAACAACTTCCAAATAGTATTTTTAAAAGTGTTAAAAACCACTCAGGTTTGTGTTTCGTACATGTTTTAAAGATAGGACTTACTATGGCGTTCTCCCAGTCTTTTGGAAATATACTTTGTGTTACACATGGGCTAAAACAAGTTCAAGCGATTCACGACAGAATTTCCTGATTCATTTAGTAACCTAAGATGCATTCCATCAGATCCTATGAATCCGTCTATATCATGCTTATTTAGCAGACCAAATACATTGGGTACCTTGGTGGTCACAATGTCCAAAGTGTGTGCGTATGTGGGGGGTTGTATGGACTGAAGAGGGTCATCCCTACGGTATATACATTTGCCAAAGTAATTTGAGCATACCTGAGCTTTACCATAATCGTCCTCCACTAATGATGCAGCACTACCACCTCCCATAATGCTGGAACGTTTCCTCTTCTCCTGATATGATATGTTGTGAATTTTACTGAACAACACCAGTTCAATATTTTCACATTTATATCCTTAGACCATGTTGATAACAGTTAGTCAGTCAGCTGCAACGTAGGACCAGGTACACATATGCATCGGTCCAAGTTGCCATACCGTATTGGCACAACAAGATGAACACCGGATTCATAGAAGTAGTTAATTCAGTGGTGGTAATATATAGAAGAAAGATTGTATATAAGGACATAGTACAGGAAGAAAGAATTAGTTGGTAGAAAGAAAGATATGAAGCGATTTTAATCTCTTAGTTTAAAGGAAGACAGAGAGTGTATACACCGACGCCATTGTGATCGATTCTGAGCCATGTTATCCACAGTCTCCAACCATTGGTTATGATAGTCACACGGACCTCAACTAAGTAGTCTGCATCTACCAACATGGCACAGACCAGAAGCTAGTGACTTCAAGCACTGATGCCACGTTTTGGTTTGGTCGCCCCTAACTTTCTTCCTATCATCCCTAACACCGGTTAGCATTGCGCGTTGTGGTAATCGGTGTTCAATCATACGCATTATTATTATTATTATTATTTTAACACTTAGGTATAGGTACAAGGAGGCACCAAGTACATATGCGCCACACGAATCTCAATTGATTTGTGTGAGGGCTGCGTCTAACCTCACTATTACTTACCTGGTGATCCCAGCAGATACCAGCAATATTTCTAAGGCACCTGTGGTCAAATACTAGTAACTTACGAGTATCTTCTACTCTTAATGGCCATGTTTCGCAGCCGTATAGTAGAACGGAGCGAACTGCAGTATACTCGTTCCTTAATTGATAGACGGATATCTCGCCTTCGCCATAGATGACGTAAGTTGGCAAAGGCCAAACGAGCTTTTCGAATCCGTGCTGAGATTTCGTCAGACACTAACCCATTTGGGCTGATCAGACTTCCAAGATAAGTTAAGTTGTCAACGCGTTCGACTACTTCACTCCCTATCCTTAGTTCAGGTGTTGACGCAGGTCAGTCCTGAAGCAACAACTTGCATTTAGAGGGAAATTATCGAAATAACATGTCTTTCCTTAAAACAACAGGTCAAAATAAATCATACAGCCTCTAACCTTGTCACTAGGTCAATTTGTACTGGATTCATTAATCAAAATCGTATCTGATCAAATCTCAGATACACCATGTTTTTCTGAAGAATGCACTTAAAGTCCATTTGTCTAATTTGATAGCTGGTTGATTAGCTCCACAAATGGTTAAAAATGTAATGGTAAGTTTTCACGAATTTCTAGGTAGTCAAATAACATCAAGTTTGGAAACAACTTAAACTTCTCAACAGCATACTTGTTGATTGTCAGTGTATTGTACTATCAAGAATTTTCGTCAACTTGTGGAAGGATCATATCAACTATCCATAAGTACTTTGGGTACCTACCTACTCACTTATCTCAGTTCAGATAATTAGAAGAGTAGCTTCTCCCTAAACCCATAAAGGATTTAAAAGGTATTTTCGTAACCGTAAACCACTAAGTAACCAACATTTTCAGTTAAATGGTTTTTGATCCAGTTAAGTCGCGTTTGCTTTTTAATTTCTTGCTTCTTAGTATCACATAATTACATGTTTGCAGTCTGACCACGCCCTTGTAATTTATCTGCATAGCTGTCTACTTTTGTTTGTTATCTAGTCTACTCTTCCTTCTTACGTGATATGCGTTACTGGTCTTTTTTTAGTCAAACGTTAAATATATATGTACATAATAATAAAAAACGTTTACACTGGTATAAATTATAGGTTCGACGTCTAAGTACTTCTACTCCAGTGCTGGCACTTATACAGGTATGTTTCAAGCATATTATGTTTGGTTTTTTGAAAGAAAAGTTTTTATTTGTATAATGATCTATTATGTCGTAATTGGGAATGGATTTACGTATATATGTAGTCGTATGCGCGATATATTTTGAGCAAAAACGAAATAGTCTGTTGACAACCGTTTTCATACTAAAACAATGAGAAACGCACTTTCAAAGTTCGTTTAGAAATAAGTTTTATTTATTTTGGAAAAGCTTCAGCAATCCCCCGTCAATCTGCACGTTTGTAATATGGTGGTGGACATTTCAATTATTTATTTCTACGTGAATAAATTAATTTGTGCTATATATATATATATATATATATATATATATATATATATATATATATATATCCCTCAACCTCGTACATATTCATCGACTTAATTTGCATAAGCGAGTAAAAAAACAAAGTACGAGAATGGTTTCCAGATACTCATGTTTCATAAATCCGTTAACTCAGACAGACAGTTCCATAGTAAGCTGGATATTTGTATGGGTTTCGTTGAAAAGTTTTAGCAAATTTGTTGCATGTTGTTGATTATTACATACGATGAAGGTATAATCAACATACCACTTCTTGAAACCGTAGGCGTGATTCGCCATCATTCTGACATCCTACCTCTACCAGTATCAGAATTCAAACGACTGTTAATCATGTGTATAAAAGATGTTCAGTTTCAGTTCAACAATATCATATACGACAAACTGATGGTGTAACAATGGGAAGTTCGTTAGGTCCTGTCCAAGCAGATATTTTCATGGGTAATCTCGAAAGAACCAAGCTCAAAGGAACAATTGATGAAATGATGTATTATTCGAGGTATGTTGATGATACCTTCATCATATGTAATAATCAACAACACGCAACAAATCTGTTAAAACTTCAACGAAGCCCATCCAAATATCCAGTTTACCATGGAACAAGAAAATGAAAAAAAGTTCCATTTTCTCAATATCGCAATAAAACGAAGGAAAGATGACAGTTCAATGTTAAGTTTATAAGAAAGACACATGGAATGGGATTTATCTCAATTTCAATAACTTTTGTCCGATCAGTTACTAAAAGGCACTTGTTAAAACAATTTCACAGAACGGAAAGAATATATACTGTCGGTACACTAGAAGAGGAAGTAATGAATGTTTAAAGAGTAACGGATACCCACTGAAATTTATTGAGAAATGTGGAAAATGTGAAGATAAAAAACCCAAAGAAACTACAGTAAATAAAAAAACCCACTTTTATTCAACTTAAATTCAAAGGTGATGTCATAGGGTCACTCAATATGAGACTAAAAACTGCATTGACGAGAACTTATCCTGCAGCTAAACTGATTGTCCTGTCCAAAACAACATGTTCTTTAATACAATCAGAGGTCAGTAGGTATCCCTTTAATGGTATCATTGATTGTGTATACAAATTTACATGTCTGTCAAAGCAGTTACATTGGTCGAACAGAAAGTAGAGCCTACGTCTGATTCAAAGAACATATTCCGAAAAATCTAAAGTCAAATGGATTAAAGGCATTCAGCAATGCCTACGTTACGTTGCAGAAATGCCATCTCAAGACATCTTGACACAGGACATCAAGCCGATATACCATTCTTTGACATTTTTCAGATACTGACTGCAGACAGATATTGGGATTTTGTTCGATCCTCTCTAACATCTATGTCCTGATGTTTGCATCTGCTGCAGATTGCAACCCACAGACAAAAATAAGGCATTTAAACTGACCTGAGGACATTTCTTGTAACCGGAACCGCTCACATTCCCGGTTCACGACACTTTCATACGTCACATAATCGTCCTGGGGTTTTTTTTACAAGCTGGAGACACTGGTATCTAGTGTGATAAACTGATGATCTTTCACCAAGTATACTGTTTCTCTGAGGGTTATGTCGGTCGCCTTCTTTGGAAGAGTAAAATTACAGAATTATTCATGTTCATACACTCCGAGCTTCCGTAGTAATAATCATTGTTTCGAACCTTCATCCCACTCTTTATAATCATTAATAAATAAATCCTCATGGCACTTAAACCACGCCTCAAGAGTAATTCCACATTCTGGACTAAATCTAAGTTCATTTATTGAATTAGCAATAGAATCCGAAGTTATAGTAGAATTAGATACCTGGGTACTTGGGGATACTGACATATTCTTGGCCAATAATTTGATAAGAGCATTTCTCTGTTGTAACAAACATTTCAGATCATCCATTTTATTGTTTTAAGATCCACTTTAACTGAATATACAAGCGTACATCCGTTCTAACCACTACTATAACGCTAGGTTTTTCTTCGTCTTTACAAATGGGACGTTAATTTACCTTAGACGAATATCTACACTAGATTCCCTCCCAGTGTCTATTCTACAGGACTTTAACACAACTCAGATCAAGAACACGTGATTAGCCTGGCTAGAATGTAAATATATTTCCACACAAAAAACCGACAACAAGCCGACATAGTCCAACAACAATCCGTCAACCATTACAATAATAATAAGGATGGGTGAAGATATAACTCATCTAACGTCTGTCAGACTGTCTACAAGTCTGATTAAGCAAACAACCAATTATGATCATTCTCGCTTACATATTATGTAGTACACATGATGTTGAGTCACTTAGACTGTAACCTGATTTATAGAATTCGATCAGCACTAAAAAAGGACCTGACATATATGACATAGGTCACTATTCAGTGATCATTTAATTGTATTTCTCACGATATTTAGTTAAGACCGATCAAAAATTCAGTACTGAATATCGTCAGAATAATTCCAACTCTTACTAAAAATGATATAAAAATACTTGTTAAATAAGTTCGTGACTACCTGGACTCAATAGCTCAATGGGATAACTTATTAAACGTTTGTAGTACAAAGTACTGAGTTTGAGTCCAATTGTGAACATCAACAGTAGAATGAAAATGTTTATCGAACTAAAGAGTCCTAAGTAAAACAAAACGTGTGCAATGGATTCTACTGCTAATCATAATCGAATCTATTTTAAATAACTTTCAGAAGACAAATTGTTCAGATTGATCAGAATTCAGTCCTGAATATATCAACAATGAAATATATTAAATTCTTACTAATAATGATATATAAATCAGATTTTCTTTGTTTGTTCAATCAACTATACGTTTCTTGTGTTCTTTTTTTTTCTTCCATTATTAGCCTCCTATTCAAGTGTTCGGTCTAGAAGGACGTTATGCTTCAGCTTTATATTCAGCTGCTACAAAACAGAAAGCATTAGATAAAATCGAGAAAGATATTCAATTAATTAAGAATACACTTAAAACAGATGTAAAATTACATGAATTTTGTCTTGATCCAAGTTTACAAAGATCAACTAAAATTCATGGAATTAATCAAGCACTAAACAAATTAAAAGTTAATGAAGCTACAAAAAATTTATTTGGTAATTTAATTTATGATTCTAATCAAGATAATTTATGATAATAGTTTATTTTCTTTACAAAGATCCTTCATAACTTGACATCTAAAAGTATATAGTACATAAAACAGTTAAGTAACATCAGTTTATGCATTTTCATGTTAGATTTGTAAGCTGTTACTTCCTTTAAGAATTCATTTTTTTTAAAAACCCATTTAGATAATCTCTTCAAATGAACGAACTTTATTTAAACATATGAATCACTGATCTTATTTTAGAAAAACAACACATCTATCATCATCATCAGCTTAAACCTTCTTGAAAAATGTCATAAATACGAAAGCATATAAAGAAATGTCATAAAAACAGAAAGTAATCTTATAATCTTGATGATACTATTGCAGTTTGGGACACTTTACAGGATAATTTTGATGTATCTTGGTTATTGTTATTATTATTATTATCGTCAGAAAAAATCATTCACGTCATCAACTTCCGAAGTGTGGTATGTTTTAAAAAATAATGTTAGGAAAGCCGTTAAGATTACAAAGGAAATACTTTTACAGTGATCATGCTTACGGGTAGTACCAGTTATTTCAAGATTTCAAATACGTTTTGTTAGTGAGTTCCAACCAGTTTGAGACACGGAGAGTCCACCTAGGGGAATTGGTAAATCCTGATTCCAAATCAATGGTGCACATGGGCTCCAGTATCCTGAAGGAACAAATGGCCTATGAACCAATTTTTTGTCACCGGTTACCATGGGACTGCATCTCTTGACGTTGCTCCACTGCCTTGTGGATCAGACCTTTATGTCAAATGTTCCGGGTGTGACCCTCTAAGAATACCACCTGCTTCGGTTTGGGCACCCGGGCAGTATCCCAGCCCTCACACAAATCGAATGATTTATGTGGCACATATCTACTTGATGCCCCTTGTAACAATGTTTGTGTTTAAATTAATAGTGTGAGACCTAGGTCTGGGGTTTAATATTGATGACCATCTAAGATCAAGGCATTTCACGGGAGATGTCTAGTTACCTAGACTAGTGACAACATTGTAGCTTTGTTAATAGAAATCGATCAACTTTAAAGACTGGACAAAAATGATAGTGATTACTAATCAGTAGTCAACAGTGTACTACAGTTTATAGTATGTTATTGATGTGTGTTTTTAATTCACTATGTGATTTGCTTATTCTCTTATTTTCAACCAGTTATACTTGCTGAAAATGGTCGTTTATCTAAAATTAATTCAGTCATTGACAAATTTGAACAAATTATGACTGCCTATCGAGGTGAAGTTAGCTGTACTGTACGAACTGCAAAACCTCTAGACAAAACATCAGAAAATGAATTACGGAATGCTCTTAATGGATTTTTAAAACCCGGCGAAAAATTACAGCTAACTTTAAAGGTAAGTTCTTGTATACCATTCGTTGGATGTATAGTCTTCAGTTGATCATAATATAAATTAGTCGAAGTTATCATAACACAATACAGTCAAATAAATAACAAAGGAGCCGAAATACTAGTAGTATTAGTAATAGTAAGGAAGACTAAGCATCGGATAATATGATACGCGTTTTCATCATTACTCTAGACTTTCAAGAGACTACATTATGTCAGCGTTTTCAGCAAGCTAAACTATATAATCTGTGTACTCAAGCAATGAGAGCAATCTCTAAAATGTTAGATGAGTTCTATGATTTCTAAAAAGGGGTATCTATAGTGACACTAGGATAGTTGTTCATCCTGAAAAGCATCACTTGACAATTCGCTATATGTCTTAGCTTATGACTATTACTTACTTACTTACGCCTGTTACTCCTCGTATAGGAGCATAGGCCGCTTACCAGCATCCTCATCCAACCCTGTCCTGGGCAATCCTTTCCAGTTCTTATTCATCCCTTTCATATCCGCTTCTATTTCCCGACGTAATGTGTTCTTTAACCTTCATCTTTTCCTCTTCCCTTTAGGATTCCAAGTTAGCGCTTGTCTCGTAATGCAGTTTGATGATTTGCGTAATGTATGTCCTATCCATTCCCATCGTCTTTTCCTAATTTCCTCTTCAGCTGGAAGCTGGTTCGTTCTCTCCCACAAAAGGCTGTTGCTGATGGTATCTGGCCAATGGATGTTGAGTATCTTGCGTAGATAGCTATTGATAAATACTTGTACCTTCTTGATGGTGGTTGTTGTAGTTCTCCACGTTTCAGCTCCGTACAGTATAACTGCCTTGACGTTGGTATTGAAGATTCTGACTTTGATATTGGTTGAAAGTTGTTTTGAGTTCCATATGTTCTTTAATTGAAGGAATTCTGTCCTTGCTTTGCCAATCCTCGCCTTTACGTCTGCATCTGAACCTCCTTGTTTATCGACGATGCTTCCCAGATATGTGGAGGATTCTACATCTTCCAAAGTTTCGTCATCAAGAGTGATTGGATTGTTTTTCTCCGTGTTGTATTTGAAGACCTTGGTTTTCCCCTTGTGTATGTTGAGGCCTACTGATGCAGAGACTGATGTTACACTGGCTGTCCTTATCTGCATTTGTTCGTGTATGAGATAGGAGGTATAGGTCATATGCGAAGTCCAAATCGTCTAGTTGGTTTTGAGCTGTCCATTGCATGCCGTGTTTTCCCTCAGATGTCGAGGTCTTTATAATCCAGTCAACCACCAGATGAAAGAGGAAGGGGGAGAATAGACAGCCTTGTCTTACTTCGGTCCTTCCTTGGGATGCATCTGTCAGATGTCCTCCATGCACTACTTTGCACTGTAGTCCGTCGTATGAGTTCCGGATAATGTTGACAATCTTCTCATGAACTCCGTAGTGTCGAAAAAGTTTCCATAACGTTCTCCTATCTACACTGTCAAATGCCTTTTCATAATCAATAAATTTGATGTACAGTGACAAGTTCCACTCAATTGATTGTTCGACGATGATCCGTAGTGTCGCAATTTGGTTTGTGCATGACCGGTCCTTACGGAATCCAGCTTGTTGATTTCGAAGTTGGGCGTCTACTGTGTAATTCATCCAGCTCAGCAACACTCTATTAAAGAATTTTCCTGGTGCTGACAGAGGTGTAATGCCTCTGTAGTTTTCACACTTGCTCAGGTCTCCTTTCTTTGGAATCTTGATGAGGTGTCCTTCCTTCCAGTCCATCGTAACTTGTTCCTCCTCCTGAATCTTCTTGAATAGAAGATGAAACATACTTGTAGTTACTTCGATGCCTGACTTCAGTGCTTCAGCTGGTATATTGCCGGGTCCTGCTGCCTTCTCGCTCTTGATTTGCCTGATGGCCATTCTGATTTCTTCCGTCGTTGGTGGATTGACATTTATAGGAAAATCTGTGTGTGCTGCCTCGATGTCCGGTGGATTCATTGGAGCCGGCCTATTCAGGAGTTCCTCGAAGTACTCTGCCCATCTGTTCCGCTGTTGCTGAATCTCAGTAATTGGTCTCCCTTCTTTGTCTTTGACTGGTCTCTCTGCTTTACTATATTTCTCTGATAGTTTCTTCGTTGTATCGTAAAGCTGTTTCATATTTCCTTCTCTTGCAGCTTTCTCCGCCGTCGTTGCTAGTTCTTCCACGTATTTCTGCTTGTCGGCTATTTATCACGTTATGACTATTGGTGTTCATATAAAGCACATTTACATGGTTTATTCATAAATGCCGATATGAATGTAATGAATGTTAGGACCTCAAATAATTATAAATCGTCATTAATTGGTTTCAGTAATTAGGACACAAACAAATACATCGGAATATTAGATATTATCGATTACTTATGTTGGAAGTAATTGCTATTAACTAGGAAGGTTGGTGATAGGATAACATTACATTACTATATTATCATACTCCTTTTAGATACTATCGATGAATCGGAAATAGTAGTCACAAGGATTAGTAGAATGAACCTTATTTTTCAATTTTGTCCTGTGTATATATTGTAACAGTTATCTTTGTATCAACTTACAATTTAATTGTACACGGAAAATATGTTTTTGTTCTCGGAAAATGAAGTAATCACTGGTTCATTTAATGCTGTATAGTACAGTTTAATCTCTTATCTATGAATTCTCTCGATATTTTAATTTATTTATCCGTAAATATTGTAGTGTTTAAACCTTATTAGTTTACCTGATGAACTGATCCTTGTTAAGCAACCATTGAAAACTAAGAAACAAATGTAGAGCTATTAATTTCTAACATCAGCAGTATTGCGAATTGGTTGGAGGTTCGACTTGTTATAACTAAGAAATAGTGATTCAGTGGTCTAAATGTTATGCGTGTATCACGAAATTTGAGAATCCTGAATTCATTTCTTGTTGAAATCTTGGGTGAATACTGTTGATGGAGATTCCTATATTAAGATAAAATAACTGTTCATTGCTTCTTGATTTTCTACGATTGCCTAACTATGATCATTTTGTGATGTAAAATATTAAATTCAGTAATTTTACTGGGCTTCCTTTATCATGGAATTTCATAAATTATATTCTAAGCATAATAAATAGATTTTAAGCAGAGATGGATGGTGGTTAGCAGTGGGATTCAGTCGCCTGCATCTGCATCTAAGAGTTGATCTACACTCAGGACTCGAATTGAGTACCGTAGGTTTCAAACGCCATCACATCATCCACTTGGCTACTGGGTCCAGATAACCACTAGCTTGTGCAATGGGATGAAGTTTAATTCATATTTTTATTGGTTGTTTGAATCTTCTCGTAGATGTTTAAGAGTGTAATTGATCTAAACTTAGTAGATAAGTGGATAACGCGATGACGTCCGAGTCCCGGAGTAAACATCAACTGTGGGATGCAGATACATCCTGCTAACGTGTCCCAAATATGACGAAACACCCCTCCAGGATTCCAATGCTAGCCACCATCCATCTCTGCTTATAGTGCTCGTGACTTACTACCGTCAATATCGAGGGAATCCACACGGGATGGACATATTCCAATAAGAGACTGATCAATACCAACATCGGTGGGAAGATACAGACAACATATATATCTATGAATTAAGATTATAGTAAATAGATGTTTATTATATGTATCACTTGTTTACTCACACAAACTTTCTGTTTTTTTCTCTGTGCATTTATTTTATTAATAATTTAGGTCGATCCATCGATTATTGGTGGTATGATAGTTAGTATCGGTGATCGTTTTGTTGATATGTCAATTGCTCGAAAAATTCGATCACTTCGCGAAATAATGGAACAACCAATTTAAAAAGTAATATAGGTCGAATTTTGAAAGATAAGAATATATAGTTATATATATAAATATACATTGAATCATTTGACTTGTAGTTTACTATGTAATTAATAATAATTACCTTTGAAAAAAGTTTGTATGATATTGTTGTTTTTATGCTGAATTTGCTTTTAATTAGTCATAGGAAATACATCATTTAGCTTATATATGCTTCTATTCAAGTTGTCACAATATATCAGTACAAAAAGATGAACTCATCAAGCTGAACACCAGATTAATAGAAGTAGTAATAGTATCTATGATAGTAGGATAACAAAAATGTATAAGTATTTTAAGACATTGAGTGAATAAATGTACTCCACTGCAGCCGATTTTGAGCCATGTCATCCAAAATCTCCATTCATTGATTACAATAATTGCGTAGGTAGTGTGCACTTAATAATACAGTCCAATTCAATAGTCAATGACTTCATGAACTGATACAATCTTTATTTAATCATCGTTAGCTTCCTTCACACTTACTCTTACTCCAGAAACCATCACGTGTTGATATATGCAGTGGTAAACATATGTGATAGATATCCCAATTACGTTAGTTGATGGAGATCCAATACATCAACCGATTTTTTGTTTATTCAGTACTACTTCACTTATTTCATTATTGCTCATTCAGTAGTCTCAATATATGTGTTATAACTTGTGAATTGAATGCTTACTTGTTATATCTGATCGTCGCTGCTTGTTGTGTCGGAAACGCTTAACACTTATACTTGGAACGAGAGACCTCTGCAATTCCCACGACGCGAAAGTAAGAACATAAAGACTGGTATAAGTGAAGATTTATTAATTCCAAAACACTATGACGACGACGATGTTGATAATGGTAGAAAATACACTCATATACTGATTGTACACCCATTCTGATTAATAATTAGGATAAAATCACATATATGAAAAATGCTTAGTTTTATAACAAATCACGTACTGAGCATAGATCATGTCAATTGAATACAAGAATGTCGTATATCATATGAGGAAACAAAACAAATACTAGAGTGACTAATCATAATATTGAATCAAAATGGAAATAATGTTGAACAACACTCATGAGTAAATCAATCAAAAACTGACTTTTCTTTCCATCATAGCAATATGCAAGTTAATTGATTTATAATAGTTTAGACTATCGTGTTGTTGGTATTGAATCATCCAGAACTCAGGAGCTAAGTGGATAATTCAAAGGATTCTTACCCGCATTCATAATGTCAATGTAGTTTTTTTATTTACAATATACCTGGCCATTTCCAAAAGCCGGTTGTTACTCGGTATTCATAATGTCTATTACATAGTAATAAGTATATGCACATAATGAAAGCACAAGTTTAGAAGCAGATGTTGCTTTATCAATGAAAATTTAGACCACTACTTGGTCGATCAATTATCACTTCAATTAAAATATGTAGAATCTACGCCACTACTGCTTGTTATACAAGCTCAAAACTGATAATCAATCAAGTCACTGTAATATAATTTAATGATAACATGGTATTATAACTTGCTGACTGTTCCAAGAATCTATTCGACACATGGCCTACAAGTAAACATAAAACGACCTTACGAAATTGCCCCCAGCTATCAGCAAATCAAAACGCAAATGAAATAGAAAATCAAACCATCATATTTAGTTTTGTATCTCACTGAAGTCGCAGTATCCTTAAGAGACGCTAAAATACTCCTGAATCACACGAAGTAACTACGCTTAGCACAAGAGCAGTTGTTTTCTTATAAAACAGGTAAGCATACCATTATCATATCTACTGTATAGTTCCATAAAGGATATGTTTATCAGTTTGAAACGTTTTAATGACAAGATATAGATAAAAGTTGTCTCTGTGTTTAGAATTTAACCCAAAAATCAGTCGTATCTCGAATCTCAATAGTTCCTTGGAAAAGTCAAGTTTTAATAAAGCATTTATCTGGTGTATTTGATAAGTGACAATAGTTGAAGTTCCTAACAAACTGTATTGTCTAGTGTTTTCACAAGATGAAGTAAAACTGTTGATCCAAATTATGCATATATCAGCCTATCCAATGATATAGTTTATTCATGGCATAAAATTACTCGTTTGAACAATAGATGCTTTACTACTCCTATAACAAAACAAATACAAATATTCAGAAAATTTGATCTAGCTTTATCAGTGGTGAACTTTAGTCACCATCGAAAATTTAAATTTGCACGATACGATTGTATCGATAATCTTAATTATGATTCATAATAAGAACTTCATGGTATATTCTACATACTTGCAATAATCTACTAATCAAAAACAGGAATAATTTTACTGTCATTCTGTCAATATGTATTATGGCATAGTTCATTGAACTGAAATAAATGAACAGTATACACACATTAAATTATAAAATTACAACTGACATTGGTTTATTAAGTAGATTAGGTGAAAAGTAAGTAATATATTAAGGGAAAGAAACCACCTAGTTTTGAATAACATATTTTAATGTCACTGTTATTCCCATAGATATTTTATCCTAATATCTAAAAGAAGTAAATAGAACACCATTCAAATGTGTTACGTAATAAATCGAACTTGTTAGTGGATATTCGCATTCAAAATATTATGTATTGAGAAGAAATTAATCCTGAAAATTCACATAATGATATAAAACTATTCATTATCAGTCGATCTTAAATGAACTTTTATTCGTATTCAAATGTTTAGTTGAACAAACCTTAAAATCAGCCGTGACCAGTGGAGCTAATCCGTGTCAGGTAGAGACAGGTATCTACCTGAGTACAATGTAAAATGGTTGCGCAATCCCGTGGATTAATTGAGGTTAGACAGTAACACCATTAGATGTGCCTGCTCAGTGACCTGAAGATTAAGCGTTCGCGCGCTAGACTGAAGGTCCTGGGTTCAAATCCAACGGGCGGGATCGTTGATACGCACTGATGAGAAGTCCCACAATAGGACGAAACGGCTATCCAGTGTTTCCAACGATGGTCTAATATCAATCGGTTCATGATTTCAATCAAAAAAATTATCACTGAATTCTGTTAGTCCGAGATCTTTATCAAACAAATTTTCTTGACAAGATTTATGACAAGTGACGAGAGAGTTGTTATATTCTGGTTCGAATAGTCATTCGATTATATTCTAGCAAAAAAGCAAACAACAACAAAACTTCAATGTTTTACCCACTAAACCAAGTGTATATAATCACAGACTTTAATACACAATGATATATCTTTTTTCAGAAAGGGTGATTCGCAGAACCTATAATGACCTTGGTATACAATGATTTTACAATAAGCGATGATGATTCACAAATATTATATATATATATATATATGTGTTTGTATACATAATAATTTATTTTCACAAATTTACAAATAGGAAAAGCAGAACAAAATAAAAACATTAGATCTTATTTACTGTTTATTACACATTAATAATAAAAAATATGATAATAACTAACAGTGAATAGGGAATGAGAGAAAGAGAAAAAGAAATACAATGTACGAATATATATAAATAGATTCTGTATACAGATAATACATTAGGACTTTATACATATGTAAGTATAGATCGATGAAATTGTCGGTAATGAGATGAAATAGATGGTGAATAAAAGAATGATTAGATTAATAAGTCGAGTAAACAAAGATAAACAAGATTGATTTAACATAAACAAAGATATACATATAATATTTACAGTTCATAATTCGGGTCTAAAGAATCATATTTATAAAAGTAACCCGAGATCAATGTATGAATAAACTTATAGAAGTAAGTACAAAAAAATGGGTCTTTCTTTTACTTTTAGTAGAAAATCAAATGATTTCGAATTTTTTTTAAAAAAAAAAGGTAATAAAAATGTACATTAGGTTGGGCAAACTACTAATTACCGAATATCAGTAGTAGTAAACAATGCATAAACGTGAAGCTGCCAACGGCAATTGTGCACGAAAAAAGGAATTAAATTGATATATAAATAAAATCTGAATGCTGTGTCTAATTCAAGTAGGAAATAGGTATTATTTCATTCTCCTTTTGTTTCCTATAAGTTCTCTTCTTTAAATTGTTTCATTTTCTGAACAAATAATGCTTCAACAATTTCAGTACAATTAAATTCCGGTGTATCTTTTGGATAAATTAAACGTGAATTAGTGAATAGACGATTCATGTCGAATGAGAAATCTCCCAAAGTTTTGTAAACATCTGTTTTCAAGTTTATTATAACGGAGGGAAGATCTAATTGTTAAAAACAGAGAAAGTAAACAAACATTTGACAACACAAATGCACAGATATGCATGTTTTTTTAAAAAAATTGCATTACATTAAAACTATATATATATATATTCCCTTCAGCTCCCAGCTGAAGAGGAAGTTATGAAAATACGATGGAAATGGATAGGTCATACATTACGCAAACCATCAAACTGCATCTCGAGGCCAGCCCTAACTCTGAATCCTGAAGGGAAGCGGAAAAGTGGAAGACCAAAGAACACATTACGTCGGGAAATAGGAGATATGAAAAGGATGAATAACAACTAGAAAGACAGGGTTGGATGAAGAGTGCTGGGTGGGGGGCGGTCTATGCTCCTCCACGAGGAGTAACAGGCGTAACATATATATATATATATATACGTACATAACCACTGCCACAGAATCCCTGCTCACTGCTTTCTCGTGGTGTTGTTTACGAAATTGAGGAGACGAAAATCGAATAGCAGCCACTTAAAGAGTGTTGTTAGGTACTGATTTTAGACCACTGTTGAACAAGGGTTTCAGGACTTTGTAGAAACTTATGACATATTAACTTTTTCTCGGTCATCGGCTAACTTCGGAACGTATCTCTTAATATTGCCCCATTTATATGTGAATTAGGCTTACGGGTCAAAGACTCACTGAGGAAACTACCTGCTTCGATTTAGGAACCGGGTAGTATTCCAGCCAATTCACAAATTATTTTTGACATATACATATATATG